GATGAATTGTATCCAATTTAAGTGCACGAAATATTTCCAGCAAGTGAATATATCATTAACAACAAGTGTTGAAACATTTCATTCACTTAAATTGGTTAGAAACGTGCAACCAATCTCTGGTGGCTAGATTTGTTTCCAATCTCTTACTGCACGGCAAGAATGCATGTCTTTCTCAAAAGGTCAAGTAATTCCAATTTCCAGAGAGTAAACGACTTATTTCGCTAGCTTATAAAATAGATAAGAAATATATGCAACCACGAGCCTGCCATGGCACTCATTATCGTTTGATAAACAGTTAAACATTTATAAGAAAAACTCTTACGAATTTGCCATATTAAAACTACTGATCATTGAATAATGTGTATTAGGAACAAATTTTCGAGATATTTAATAGTACTGTAATACATAAAAAGTAGGAAGATTTGCAAGTATAGTATCGTAATTTTATATAATCGTATAGTGTGAAGACGAGAAGCTTATTAGTGTTTTAGATTATTATGTGTATATCCTCGTAAATAAAAGATTTACTTGAATCAAAGACCACTAGAAACTACAATCTAGAACTAATATAGTGATAGACCAATCTAGTATAAATATAGAAAGTTTTAATATAAGTTTTTTCTCATCAATGTAGATCAATAATGGATAACGCTGCCGGCGTCTCTAGAGAGAACCTTTTAGGCCCCAGTTACACGATACCGGATTCGCATCGGAGCGACATCAAATTTTACTGCTTCGAGGTGAATTTGGCACTTAAAATTATGATAATATAACATAGTTAAACAAAAGGTTTAAATATGAAAAGTTGTAAGAGCAGACAAGACTGGAAAACACCTTAAATTGATGTCGCTCCGATACGAATCCGGTATCGTGCAACTGGGGCCTTAGACCGCGGTTATTGTTCAGCCAGAAATGAAAAGCAATCCAATTAGTGTAGCTTTCTAATTACGTCAGAGAGAACCTTTTAGACCGCGGTTATTGTTGAGCCAGAAATGAAGAGCAATCCAATTAGTCCAGGTTTCTAATTACGTTTATCAACATTCCCTGTGGGAGAAACCCGCAGTAACCTGAGAAAACCCACGACTTTCGGTAGAGCGTTTACCGACTGTTTACATAAGTATCATGAGCGAGTTCACAGCGAGAATCGAACCCACAATCTCAGAGGTGAACTTGCTCTGACGATTGCGCCACCTTCACCCAGCTAAGATATCACTCCAGTAACATTATAGAGGTCATTAAAATGTTTGTCACAGTTAGTGATTTGCACCACAAGCGCTATTCTACTAAAGCTTTGTATATATCCGTATCAATCCGTCTCTTAGTTATGTTGGCGACTGAATCTATAAACTACACGGCTTCAAGATTATTCCCTTCACCCAGCTAAGATATCACTCCAGTAACATTATAGAGGTCATTAAAATGTTTGTCACAGTTAGTGATTTGCACCACAACCGCTGTTCTACTAAAGCTTTGTATATATCCGTATCAATCCGTCTCTTAGTTATGTTGGCGACTTGATCTATAAACTGTACGGCATGAAGATTTTAAATATCAGTGATATTATATCACTCCACTAATATTATTGAGGTAATTGAAATTTTTGTCACAGTTGGTGATTTTGTTTGTATAAATATTTCAAATTTTTTCACATAATTAAAACAATTCAATATTTCAAATATACCTATCAATTTCTCGAAATTTTTACTCTCAATTGTACATATTGAAATACACATAAACTTATCCTCGCTTCAACAATCATAATTTCCAAAATTCTAACTATCTCAAGTTTTAAAATACAAATTTCTAAAAGCTGCTCTGTCTTCCGAGTCATGATCCTGTCATCACGAGATTTTCTTATGCAAATATTTCATATCACATTTCAATTGTTGGCGTCTCTCAAAACGAAAGTTGAATTACAAAGCTTTGTCTGCTCTTTAAAACTCCTAGTTATCGACAATGTGAAGTGTAAATCATTGTAGTTATGTTGCTTTTACCCTTGGGGATTTCGAGTTGAACTTTTGGTGAATAAAACGACGAAATAATGGCGTGCAGTAAATACGACTACGAGCTTGGGTATGAAGACAATCGCTTCGAGATTGTTGTCAGTCAAAGATTTCACTGCCCCATTTGTTTCCTGGTTCTTAAAGATCCCGTTATGTGCAAGAACGAACACTACTATTGTTCTTCATGTATGAAAAAGCATTTGGAAAACTCCTCGTTCTGTCCGACGTGTCTTGAACACCTCAGTGTTGACACACTAAGACCAGCTTCAAGGATTGTCAATGATTATATATCTGAGCTGAATATTCATTGTGATTTCTACCCCAGAGGATGCCCTGAAATGGTTCAAGTTGAAAATCTCAAACGTCACGTTGCAAGTTGTGGATTCTCTCCTGTGCAATGTTCGAATGATGGATGTAATGTTCTCGTGAATGCCAGCGACAAGCTTCACCATGAAACTGAAGTATGTGATTTTAGAAATCTGAAATGTCATGACTGTGGTCAAGTCAAGAATGAAGTGAAAGAAATGAAAGATCAAATAAAGAATGAAATGAAAGGAATGAAAGAGGAGATGAAAAATGAAATAAAGAATGAAATGGAAATAATGAAAGAGGGAATGAAAGATGAAATAAAGAATGAAATGGAAATAATGAAAGAGGGAATGAAAAATGAAATAAAGGATGAAATGAAAGGAATGAAAGGAGGAATGAAAGAAATGATTGATCAAGTATTAGTGCATCGAGATAAAATATCGAAAGAAGTAAAAGAGGAAGTAAAAAATCAGATGAAGAATGAAATGAAAGGAATGATTGAAAATGAAATGAAAGGAATGAAAGAGGAAATAAAAAAGGAGATGAAAGGAATGAAAGGTGAAATGAAAGAAATAGTTATGAATGCTGTGAGAGATGCAATGGCAGGAATAAAAAGTCTCGAAGTTGAAATGAAAAATTCAAAGCAAAGTTCACAAGCGACATGTTCTTCAGATACAAGAGAAAATATCTTTGTAGTTGGAGGAAAACACAAGCAGGGTTGGAGATATGTGAAAAATAAATCCACAGAGTGTTTCAACTGGGCTGACCAAACCTGGACAGTGCTGGATTTTGCAGTATTTGAAGGTCGTGCCAACGCTTGTTCATTCCTGCATCAAGGTCAAATGGTGGTCGCTGGAGGTCATGATAATAGGGGCAACTTGACAAACACAATGAAATGTTTGAATATCGCAGATCCATCAGCCACATGGAAAGATTTCACTGTCAATCTTCCTGTCCAGTGCTCTGGTCATAAAGTCGTCAACCACAATGATCAGCTGTTTATGTCTGGGGGATATGTTAAACTCAGTGCCGGGGAATCGTCCAAATGTTCTGATGCAGTGTACCAGGTGCAGTTGGTTCCACCATATTCCAGTAAGATCTTGACAAGATTACCACAATCAAGATCTGATCATGGCATGGAAATGTTTGATCAGAAATTGTTCATTCTTGGAGGGTATGATGGCAAGATCACAGCCAGTGTGGTACAGTATGATCTCATCAAGAATGAATGTAAAGAAATGCCTCCATTGCCATATGCTGTGCAAGAAATGGCGACTGTTTTATGGCGGAATAACGTGCTTGTGATTGGTGGGGAGGATCACCGTTATCAACGTTTGAATAAATTGATAATGTATGACGTCATTACAGGACGTTCTCAAATGTTGCCATGTATGAAGCAGAAGCGATGTGCTTGTACAGCGGTCTTAACTGGCAATGTTGTAGTGGTTATGGGAGGAAGGAATGAGAATTTCGAATGTCTTAAGTCAGTGGAATGTTTTGATTTAGAACGTCAAGTTTGGCAAGACTTGCCTGACATGCTTGAACCACGAGCATTCGCCACTGCAGTGATCAAACCAAACCATTGAATTCAAAAAGGACATTGACCATAGTTGTTCTTGAACCACAACTCTACTAATTAAGCTATCAAGTTAATTAACAGAGATTGGTGATGAATTGTATCCAATTTAAGTGCAGGAAATATTTCCAGCAAGTGAATATATCATTAAAAACAAGTGTTGAAACATTTCATTAACTAAATTACTTAGAAAGTTGCAACCAATCTCTGTTGGCTAGATTAGTTCCCAGTCTCTTACTGCACGGCGAGAATGCATGTCTTTCTCAAATAGTCAAGATACGACTTTAACAATATAGTCAATGAAATTCCAATTTCCAGAGGGTAAACGACTTATTTCGCTAGCTTATAAAATAGATAAGAAATATATGGAACCACGAACCAGCTATGGCACTCATTATCGTTTGGTATTTAAACAGTTAAACGTTTATAAGAAAAACTCTTACGAATTTGCCATATTAAAACTACTGATCATTGAATAATATATATTATGAACAAATTTTCGAGATATTTAATAGTACTGAAGAACATAAAAAGTAGGAAGATTTGCAAGTATAGCATCGTAATTTTATATAATCGTATAGTGTGAAGACCACAAGCTTATTAGTGTTTTAAATTATTATGTGTATATCCTCGTAAATAAACGATTTACTTGCTTAATCAAAGACCCCTATAAACTACAATCTAGAACTGATAGTGATAGAGCAATCTAGTATAAATATAGAAAGTTTTAATATAACTTTTCTAATCACTGTAGATCAATAATGCATAACGCTGCCGGCGTCTCTAGAGAGAACGTTTTAGGCCCCAGTTACACGATACCGGATTCGCATCGGAGTGGCATCAAATTTTACTGCTTCGAGGTGAATTTGGCACTTAAAATTATGATAATATAACATAGTTAAACAAAAAGTTCAAATATGAAAAGTTGTAAGAGCAGACAAGACTGGAAAACAAATTAAATTGATGTCGTTCCGATACGAATCCGGTATCGTGTAACTGGGGCCTTAGACCGCGGTTATTGTTCAGCCAGAAATGAAAAGCAATCCAACTAGGAGTTACTATCGCAAGGAAAATGCTGCCGATATGTACATGTAGGATGTGCTACAAAAAGAGCGTTTTTCACTGTATGTATGATTTATTGTCTTACACATCGTCGTTCCTCAGTTACCTTCGTACAATTATATCTTACATCTAATCTTATGAAAAGTATATTTTAATATACTTAACAGTGCGACTTTGATAGTTGACACATAATACAAATGATAAAATGTGAATATTATTGAATGATTTTGTCACTCGTACAACTTTTAATTTGGCTATTCAAAAAATTGATTTAAAATAGTTGAATTTATACTTACTGGGATGTTATTGCTTATTGGGATGTTGAAATTATGTTTGTTTTAAATACATTTAATTGATATTCCATAAATTCATTAAATTGTATGATTTCATTGACCTTGACGTTGTTCAAAATCATTTTGTATTGTATTGAAACTGTATGTCTATGACCTATGTTATGGACTATATTAACCCATTGAGTCGCATTGCACCCTGATGCACCCTACTTTGAACAGTATTTTACTCTGTCTAACGCCAGACGATTTTACTCGTCAAGGGGAGAGCGCTGGCGCTTAATGGGTTAACACGCCCAAAATCTGTACTAAAACTGCTAATTCTGTTTTGTGATTGGCACAGTTTAATCAAAGAATCCTCCCGTTGAACCAGAGCCTTCACAATATTTCAATTTATTATTAACTGAAGGCTCTGGAATCCAGGATAGCTTGCCATTGAATACAGTGCAATGCTTATATTTCTGAATGAATAAGATCATACTCAGAACAGTCAGAACTGCAAAACTATATTGTTAGAAAGAAGTTGAAGTTGTGAGCATTATTGTGGTAACACAGCCATATGTATATATCAATGTATGTCAGTAGAATCATGTTTATAGGCTTTATATATAACTGAGGCCTTATACAAGTCATATCTTATACAAAAGTCAGTTGATATGCTATATTACATGTAATTGCTGATAAGTCCATATATGCAGACAACAATCCACACTGGGTAGCTCTAGGAATCTTGTTAAGCCTGATTTAACAACATCCCGCGTTTGTTTTTAAACTATAAACATTTAGAAATAGAACGTACCGAACACTATTATATACTCACCGCCTTTGGCTTTGCACATATTAAGTGACATAACAAACAAATAAACTAAAAGTTCATTTGCTTCTTGTATCAGCATAAAGGCATTAATCATTACTGTCGATTTGGTCGGGAATAGATCAGTGATTCAGTGGGTATTATAATTGCCGATATATTCTTGAAATCATTTTGTTTCAATGCCTCTATATCGAAGTTTAATACACTAAAGTGACTAAACAAGTATAAACAGCAGATTTAAATATAAATGCCTTCATGTATTATAAAATATATCACCAGACAGGTAGACAGGGCACACGGCACGACTACATCACTATACGAGAACGAAATAAAGCCATCCTTACCTGAATTATTCAAAATATTGTCGATCATTCTTGCGCCATAGACACAAAATAACACCGTGCTTTATTTACCCATTCATCTTCACAAATATTACTCGGAATTTTTATGGAAATTCGCATTATTTTATGATTTTTATATTTCTGTCCGTTTATAACAGTCGCCATGTTGTGAACAAACCCCCCCGGGAACAAAAAATAATATCAAAACAGCTAGTTTTGGCCCGTCCGTGGATGACAGAATGACATAAATCGAGATTGTAGCGGCTATAAACTCGGCGGTCACGTGGTAAGCACACCACGTGTAGAGATTAGTGTGCTGCCGAGCTACGCTCGGCAGCAATTAGTGTAGCTTTCTAATTACGTCAGAGAGAACCTTTTAGACCGCGGTTATTGCTGCAGCCGTTCCGCACGTTGTAACCAATAATCTATTGGCGTTGTAATGCCATTGTATGCAATAAAGTATTGGGTTGTAATGGAAGACAAAACCACAATCATTAGACAAAAGTTTTAGTTATAAATGTAATTGGCTTAGCTTGGCGGATTGCGGGAAGGGTATGCGGTGGGTTGTAATGGGTATACGATTAATCCAAACGTTAATCCTAATCCAAACCCTAATCCTAACCCCTACCTCCTAATCCCTAACCCCACCCCCTAACCCTTTTAAAGCCGATGGCCCGCTACCTCTCTGGGGAATATACCCTCCCCGCCTCCCCGCAATCCGCCAAGCTAACCCAATTACATTTATAACTAGAAGTTACTAACGCAAGGAAATGCTGCCTCACCCCCAAGGGATGAAAGGCAGCATGCGCAATTTGCTGAATAGGAGCTGTTTTTATGATCCCGCTTTGCCAGGACGAGATATGAAGCGGAATGATTTCGATATATTGAAATAAGTCACAGCGCACAATTCAGCAAAATACGTCATTGTTTCAATACATCAAAAATCACCCCACCTCCCATCATGTAAACAGCCCCTAAAACGCATGTTCAGGAAGTAGGAAAGGTGCAATTCGAATACCAAACATCTTGCACAATGTCAAAAGGTCAGCTAACTATTCTAATGACCTATTCTAATTCTAATACAGTCAGTGGTGAAGCTAGGTCGTAGGTTCAATTCCCACCTTGGCCAGGCATATTTTTCAAGTTTGCCCGGTGTGGATATACACTCAGAGTAACATCACAAACATCATATTCACCTGAGTACATTATCGGTCATGCTACGGTATACAAGTTTTTAATAATTTGCATTATTCAAATAGATCCAGGTTTATAGGTGCGGCATGACCAGTTGACATTGTAGCCAGCTTGCAATTGAATAATGTACAATATCATATTATATATAAACAATAATAATACTTAAATGAATCATTGGACATGTAGAATTTAATAACAATTTCATATACAGAAATATTAAAGCCGGGTTACAGTCCGTAATGTAAACAAACGCTTTGTTTACATTTTGAACTGCTATATTTCTTAAAATATTATGAACTGTCAGAAAATTTAACACTATTTTGGTTCGCTATACTTTTAAATAAGTATGAGCTAGTGTTTATGTTCAGAAATATACAAAACATGCGAAATTTGCACAATTTTGAAATCCAGTAGTCTACCTTTGTTATGAGCAGAACCGATGCGCAGAACGGACTGTAACCGGCTTTAAGTCAGTTTTTGACCCAATTATCGTTTTAATGGCACCTTCAAAGTAATCTGTGATCAGACCTATAAATAAATAAATAGGCCTGATACAAACCTTAAAGACCATGTAAAATCCGTTCTGCACATACGTTCTGTGCAGGCTTACATTCCAATAGTTGGGACCCGACCGTTGGAATGTTATTAATATTTTGTATGTTTTGAACTTTCTTGAATTGAATCTCTATAGTCTGTATTCATTTACAAGTATAGCAAATCAGAAGAGTGTTAAAAATTCAGTATAATATATATCTAATCATATTTTGTAACTGTAGCACTGAGTTCAAAATGTAAACAAAGCGTTTGTTTACATTACAGACTTTACATCGTCTTTAACAAAAGATCATGCCTTACAATCGTTTTTCGGGTGTAAATCTGATTGGTATATGAGAGAAAAAGATTTTTTAATCTGTCATTTGATTGGTTGGTGCTAATTATATTATGTTGTTGTTTATAATGTGAAATTTAAATTTCTCCTGCAACATTTTGATTAGATAATAAATATAAGTTTGCTGCAAATAGGTGGAAAATTATCGGATTAATGTTTGTGTCAGGGTATATTTGTAAAATAGAGCCTGATCTCAGGTTACCTTCAAAGCTATCCACACTACCATTGGAAGCAATTTTATATTGGAGGGCTGATTAGTCTGGGGTAATTATTGCTAGTTTACAAATTATTGTTGCTACAACCCTGATCCCTAAATTGCAAAACAACTGGACAATCTGCTGATGCGGCAATGCCTGATGGGGAGACAAAATCTGTTTGTTGACAGTTTTGTTCATTTGTCAGTTTCTGATGACATCATTCATTTGTAATGATCAAGATTGCACTCAGTCAGAACTGCAAAACTATATAATACAAGAAATTGTGAGCATTATAAAAAAATATAGTATACCCTGAACTGTAGTGACACAGCCAGGTGAATATATGCTAACAAGTAACAGTAGACATACATCTCAGAGATATATTTGTACAGACCGTCATACCTTTTGACAAATGTTGGTTGACATGTTATTACATGTAACTGCTGGTAAGTTAATATGTGCAGACAACAATCCACACTGGGTTGCTATAGGAATATCTTTCTACAAGTCAGATATTTTTTCATTTGTATACATATTTATGTGTTCCAATGCGGGCACGATACTGCTCATTTGATATTCCCATAATAACAATATTATAATACACTATCACTGTGATTATTTATACCTTGATGTACGATGTTCTATCAAGCTCAAACAGATTTTTTTACTCCACTTGTTTTACAGTATTAATATATGAAGAGTTGTATACTTGTATGGCACCTAAATTAAAATTTAATAAAAATACAGTTGATTCATTCGACCAAAACACATTGTTATTTGTGATCAAACTTTCATCTTACCTTGAAAAATATTTTCGATAAGAAAAATATTTCGATAAACAGCCAGACATAAAAATCCGTACATCCATCAACAAAATCGAGTTGTCGTTCGGCTATACATAACTCGGCCAAAGAGACTGGGCACACGTAAACGCAATACTTCATGTTAAGAATAGTGTGCTGCCTTCGGCAGCAACTAAAACTTTTGTCTAATGATTGTGGTTTTGTCTTCCATTTCAACCCAATACTTTATTGCATACAATGGCATTACAACGCCAATAGATTATTGGTTACAACGTGCGGAACGGCTGCTCAGCTCTTGTTGAGTCAGAAATGAAGAGCAATCCAATTAGTCTAGGTTTCTAATTACGCCCATCAACATTCCCTGTGGGAGAAAACCCGCAGTAACCTGAGAAAACCCACGAGTTTCGGTAGAGCGTTGACCGACTGTTTACATAAGTATCATGAGGAGTTCACAGCGAGAATCGAACCCACGATCTCAGACGTAAACTTGCTCTGACGATTGCGCCACCTTCACCCAGCTAAGATATCACTCCAGTAACATTATTGAGCTCATTAAAATGTTTGTCACAGTTAGTGATTTGCACCACAACCGCTATTCTACTAAAGCTTTGTATATATCCGTATCAATCCGTCTCTTAGTTATGTTGGCGACTTGATCTATATACTACACGACTTCAAGATTATTCCCGTCACCCCAGCTAAGATATCACTCCAGTAACATTATTGAGGTCATTAAAATGTTTGTAACAGTTAGTGATTTGCACCACAACCGCTATTCTACTAAAGCTTTGTATATATCCATATCAATCCGTCTCTTAGTTATGTTGGCGACTTATAGAGGTCATTGAAATTTTTGTCACAGTTGGTGATTTTGTTTGTTTAAATATTTCAATTTTTTTCACATAATTAAAACGATATGGTTGTACAGCGGTCTTAACTGGCAATGTTGTAGTGGTTATGGGAGGAAGGAATGAGAATGACGAATATATTAAGACAGTGGAATGTTTTGATTTAGAACGTCAAGTTTGGCAAGACATGCCTGACATGCTTGAACCAAGAGCTTTTGTCACTGCAGTGGTCAAACCAAACCATTGAACACAAAAGATATTTATAGCAAAGTTCTTCTTAGACCACAGCTCTACCAATTAAGCTATCAAGCTGACAGAGATAAGACACGAATTGTATTCAAATTTAACTACACGAAATATTTTTCAAGGAATGTGTCCTAAATTAATAACTCGCTAGCGATAGACACATTTGGCTAACATTGCTCCATCCTTGGTACCCAATTCAGAACTTTGATAAGTTTGTCTATTTCTGTTGGCTAGATTTATTTTTAATCACTGTGAGTGTGCGCATATGAACAGGAACACCCTCAAGAAATGATTTTTTAAAAAAATAATTAAAGATTCAATATGTTTGCTATCAAACGTTAATGAAATTGCAATATTTGAAATCAAGAGAAAATTACTTTCACTATACAAATGTATAAGAAATAAATGTAAATGGAATTCATTAACAGACAGGGATAACCGGGTTTGGTTTTGTCACATTCAATGTTAAATTAAAATTATGTAGTACATACCTTTTCGAAATTATGTTGAGCTCCCATGAATACTTTCACACATCTTTCTACCGGAGCATAAGGTCGTACATCCCAAATACGAACTGCAAAATAAACACTTTATTTCAACATCAAAGTAGTTTGTTTTACAACATACAATCAAGAGGTTCAAATTTGACTTTCACAAGCTACCACACCATTAAAGGATCATTAACCAATCAGATGGGTTTGATATTTCCGATCAACCATCAGATGCATACTAAGCCAGGGAGAGATACAGTAGTGGAAGTCAAATCTGAATCTCTCTAGCAATTTCGCTTGGGTATGACAAATGTTCAATCAACTTTGCAGTCACTCGGACCTAGGGACTAATAATGATCGGCCAATCTTTCAAAATTTACATTTACAGCTTGTGCTGATCACATCCCGCATGATCAATCACATTACTCGACTTTTGGTGAGCAATACAAAGTCCCACTGATCCATGCAACCGAAAATTTATTTGTCCTACGGATATTGTTTTGGAATTTACAGCATGTCTGGTACTGTACATTAGTCTGGTAGCATAAATTTGAGATTTTATTATTTTTTTCCAAATGTAAAAGATTACATACCTGTGTTATCCATAGCGTTTGAAAGCAGGAAGGAACCGTCTGGACTGAGTTTAAAACCAGTCACTGTGTCTGTATGCCCAGGCATTGTGTAGAGAATATCATTTTTACGTAAATCCCAAACCTGGAGAGAATAGAATTTTTGAAGGAATTAATAGATGGAAGTGGGCGTTTGTTTATCACAAAATTCCAGAACAGAGTCAACAGAGAACTCCTATTAATTCATCCAGACAAGATTTCTGAAGAAATATTTCCAGGTTTATAACCAAGTTGTTGGGAAGCTTGCTCTGAATTTTAGGTTAACCTAGGGTTATGCTAACTGTCTTTCAAACAACCTGCTCCAGTAGCCTCCTCCGCAGGCAATTGTGTAGTTCTGCAACGTTATTAACCATAAAAGATTTATCAGAAACGTAGAAAATACAAGGAAATACTAGTTCTGAAATACGATATGATATTTATAAACACTGGAGCGTAAATTAAAAAGGCACAAGCCTCCCTATTTTTACGCTCCAGTGTTTATTATAAATATCATATCGTATTTCAGAACTAGTATTTCCTTGTATTTTCTACGTTCCTGATAAATCTTTTATGGTTAATAACGTTGCAGAACTACACAGTTGCCTGCGGAGGAGGCTACTGCTCCAGTTGGTTGAGGCCCATTTCACAGATACAACTATAGTCATACACAACCCTTATCCTAGCATATGTACTTGAAAAAAAAATGCATGTAAAGATGCCATATTTCAAATTTTACCATTTAACAATTAGTTGCTAAAGGCGAGGTGATTACAAGTTGTTGGGACAATGCTCATGCAAGCTCCCACTTCTCAACTCTCATTTGACCAGGGCTTCAGAGCGCTGCACCAGAATCGCAGGACCATACATAGCACAGAATACTACACAAAAGGCCATCTCTGTTGTTTTTTGCATAAGCGCTATTCGTCATTATTCGTCACGAAGCAAGTTCTGTTTAGGGTACTTGCTGAGTGACAAATCATGACGAATAGCGCTTATGCAAAAAGCAATGGAGATGGCCTGCTGTGTAGTATTCTGTGGCCGTAGGTTTGATTCCTCTCAGGACCTGTAGTTGGATTTTTCACAGCCGCTCCTGGTTAGGTCTGATAAATATGTAAAAATCACACTCGATAATTTCCATATTGAAACAAGGCATGGTGTTTGCCTTACCTTAACTTCATTATCAATCCCACCAGACAAAATTTGATCTGCAGTATCATTAAAACATACTGCTGTTACCTAAAATAATCAAAATGCATGCTGTTTGTATAGGTAATAGTATGGTTTCGAGTACAATTTGGAAAAATTACAGCAGCTGGAAATTTTCTGCCAGAGCCAGAGGTGAAAAAGGGCACAAATTTTAAATTAAAGTGTTAAATATCATATTGGGTGCAAATTGTTAAGGGCACAAAAGTGTTAAATATCATATTGTGTAAAACTTTATTCTTTTATATTCAAATTTCTTACTTGATATATATCTTGAAATGTTTGCACAGCACCTCTCTTTCGTATGTCCCACAACTATAAAATACAGACAAGTTGGTACTATTAATAGGGCCTAAAAAAATTACCTGTGGTTCCGGTTTATTTTTTAACGCGATTGACAGTGCGACCCTATTTTCTCCGGGTGGTTGCGGGCTGCTCATACAGCGTGCCAAAATGACGTCTGTTGTCACACTAATTATTGAACCAAATTGCCTAAATTCATCCATAGGAAATACGCATCTCTAGTTAATATTGATGTCAGGACTCTACTGCAAATCGCCCAGCAAAAAATCGCCAAAACCATGAAAAAAACATTTTAAAAAAATATGTATTTCCAACCAACCCTAGTTTTTTCACGGTAAGAAACCGGAACCACAGGTATTTTTTTTAGGCCTAGCAACTATGGTGGAATACCGTACAGTGTAAAAAATAGTGTTATGGAAACCACTGAGCATTTTAATAAAATTTAAAACAATGGTAACTCTGAAAATAAACTTTTTAATATTCTAGCTTTCGACTAAGATTCAGTCATCCAAAAATAAACATTTTAATATTAGAATATTAAAATGTTTATTGTTGGAGTTACCATTGTTTTATATTTTAAAAAATAGTGCATGTAATGCTTTTTTGAGAATAACTTTAGTTCTATATTTGCTCACACCACCAGCTGTAAAGCATAAGCCTTGAAGGTGTGGGCAATGATTAAAATTTGGGCTTACAGAACGTTTTCAATTAGATATATAAATTATTTAATAAAATTTTCAGGGGTCAAAATTTACAAAACGAAATAATGAGATCATGAAGTCTACTATTCCAAAAAGTACCATACCTTAATAGTGCTGTCATCTGCACCACTGACGATCATCTGATTGCCACGTCTTGACGGACAGCATGAATTTACAAATGACTGATGTCCTTTCAATTTCTTAATTCTACCTCCAGTTTCATAATCCCAACAACACACTGTCTTGTCTGTTGATGCTGTGAATAATGTACTGTAAAAATATGCTGTATTGTTAACAATGCCTTAACACACTAATCAGCAGTATTCTCCCCTTGACAAGTAAAATTGTCTGGTGTTAGACAGAGTAAAATACAAAGATATGGCACAATGTCACTTCATGGATTAAGTCATACTTGTAATGCATTAAGGCATATTATGCTGGTCAATGGGTTTTCTATCCTGCAATATTACCTTCCATCAATATTGAAATGCAGTTCCATTATTGCTCCAGTATGTCCTTTCAACACCGCAAAATTTTCACATTCATCATAAACATTCCATAAATCTAGTCAAAGAGAAGAGCCATTAAACTCTAGTCAAAGAAAAGAGCCATTAAACTTCTCTTTGACAAGTAAAATCGTCTGGCATTGGACAGAAGTAGGGAGCTTTAGAGGGAACTGCAGGGTACACACCCCACCTACTGTAGTGGTGTCTAGCACCCCCTAGCTGATTTGCAAGCCCACGAAAAATACTCAGAATGCTTTATAACACCCATTGAGTGGTAGCACTCTCCCCTCCTGATGTATTACAAAAGTCACCATTTACTGTGGAATTGCATAAAAAATTTATATCGCCGCAACTCTCACAAACGTCTACGACCTATATAGGTGCGGTCATAGACTCTTGTGGGAGTGGCAGATATACAAATTTTTTATGCGATTCCACAGTTTGGTGACTTTCATAATATATTGATTTTGACTGTCTTGAGTTTGAATAATGTCGGTTGTTTAGTCACTTACAAATTAATCGATCAAATCCAGCTGATGCAAGAGTCTCACCATCAGGATGAAATTCAGTTGTAAATATTTCACTCTGAAACAAATATATTGGTGATAAGACCATGGGAATGAAAGTCACAGATTTGCGTCCACCGCCCGCATGCCTCAAAGGCTACCGCCTAAAATTTTCATTATTTACAAAAAAATTCATTATTTTCACAAACAAAGCAAAACTCAATAAAAATAGCAATAAAATTGTGTATTGATTACAATAAAATGAACATGTTGCAGTGTGTTTGTCCTCAGTATCCACATTCTATGAAATTCCAAATTATATTCACCGAAATTGGCACACAGATCTTCAGTACTGCAACTGCGTGAGCTCGAGATATATGTAATTCCGTGGTGTAAACGGTAATTCGTGTTTTGATCTCTGTATTTACCACCCAAAAGGATGGCAAAAAAATAATGAATAATGAAAAAAACCCGCATGTTTTTTCAAAATTATCCGGACGCAAATCTATGACTTTCATTCCCATGGCCTAATCACATTTTATCATTCAATTTTGTAAGAAAGTTGATCATGTATAATTATGTTTATAATACCTCATGACCAGTTAATAACATAATAGGTGCCATTAACGAACTGGATCTTGGTGGACCCTGGTAAAAACAGTACAAAACATTAGAATCTTCAAACATGGAAGTTCTTCATCAGCAACACTTTAAACTACATATTTTTTAAATTATTAAATATACATATATGACAGACACTGAGGAATGCCCAGGACTTCTTCTCGAGTGATCTTACACCGTGGAATTTGTAAGATTTCATTAGATGCGGACAGAAGTCAGTCTGGCGTAGTTTTAATAGTCTGACATACGTCTGCACGTTAAAAAATTGGTCATCGAATTTGGTGACTAAAAATCCCAATTTACAAAAACTAAAAAGCTCACCCTTTGCATAAGACTTTGCTGTTGGTTTCTGATAGCCAATTCATTCTGTTTCTGCCTCTTGGAAGGAACTATAGCAAAATGTTCGCCCTGTTTTCTCTTGGATGAATTGGCCGCCATGTTGAATCTTGGTCGAGGACAAAACTTAGAGGTCTGGGACCGGTTGTTCAAAGCTGGTTTAGCGATTGGTTTAGCGTTAACCCTGGATTAAAATTTAACCCACTGTTTTGGAAAATCAAACTTCAACCTCATTTGGATTTAAAATTTTCAGCAGTAAAATAATCGTTGCTAGATTTTACTACTGTAAATTAACTACGGTATATAGACTATTATAAAATATGGTTCAATGAATTAAATTTCGTACTATTCTGTCTTATTTCTGTACTCAACGGAATAGTAGATTCGGTGGTTCGTATTATTACACAGTGCTCAAAATTTAGGTGATCCCAATCCAATCTAACAGCCGCAAAGCACCCCAAATGCCCAGGCACACAATACAACCAGACACCCGCGAGGCCATTTTTTTCAGTGTTTAAAACCAATAAAAAGAACTTTCAAATGACTCAAAATGTACAATGTATTCTCTTTGAGAAATTAAATCTTAAAAATATTGAAGTTTATTTGGAATATTTATGATTTGGCAAAAAACAGACTTCTCAATCTTAAACTTTTACTCTTTGTTCGCGCCACGTGGTCGAATAGCTTGTCATTAAGATGAGTCCAATAAGATCTGGAAATAGGACTAATAATTGACGCCTTGGCGATTTGTGTTTTGGACACTATGAAATTTTTTGTCGTATAAGCCGGATCTAGGATTCAAAATATGTTTGCGACTGTTACTGGCATAAGGAATTGAAGGTTCATAACATATTTAATGATATAACCTTATATTCATTATCTTTTAACATGTCTCTCAGAAAACTTTAACCCAACATATTTGTTTTCAATAATCATGTATGGAATCAAAAAAGTGTACCAGTTATTTTCTAGGACATTTATTTCTTGTGTGCCCCGGTTGACGACAGATACCACAACATCTGGGTTTTCTGTTTGGTCTCTGATTTTGAGCAGGCGGCGGTTGGGAAGTTGGTCTTTCGCTGTCGAGCCATTCGAAAAATTTGCATGCTTGTCCAGAAGGCTTTGAACAGCAGTAGAACTGACGATGTTGGTTCGGACCAGCTTTTTGGACCGTTCTCACGACAGCCTGCTGTCTACACTGGCAAAGATTGGGCCTTCGATCATTTGCTTGGTTCTGATTGGTCTGGTCATCACCACGGCCTTCATCAGCCCACAAGAAGAAATCACATTCTCGTTTTTCACACGTGTAAAACTCTCGACCTTTGTTTACGCCTTCTTTTCGAACAGTACGAATAATGGCTCTTTGATCACAACCACACAGAACATAATTTTCAGGTCTTGGAGGACGAGGCCGCTTATTTGAATCATGGTTATCTGGTTGGAATGGTGGTCGCTGCGGGCGACGAGGTTGACTTTGCGTAGTGGATGACATCTGACCTCCTCTTCGATTATTATTCTCGTTATTTCTTCCGTTGTCGCGTCTTGTTGATGTGTTCCGTTGGGTCACTGACGATGATGCATTGATCCTGAAACTCAGAATTTCTTGAAGATATTCATCGCATAAGATACAAGTGCAATATTCCAAGTCCATCATCGGTGGAACTGAGCCTCTCTTGAATTGGAACTTGATCTTGTAAACTGGTCGTGGTATGCAACGAGAACACACTCTCTCCGTCACTTGTGCATCAAGAACAAAACTAGGAAAGAATGCTCTAGATGTACATTCGGGATAACGCATGCAGCCAATCATGAAACCTTTATCTTGTGTTTTCTTCATGCACATTTGTGTTTGACAGGAGGGACAAGTGAACACAGGTTGAGAATTGATCACCTGGGAAGTAACAGGATCTTCATTAAGTTGCACGGGTTCTCCGAAGAATTGTGCTAATGCTTGATCTAATTGGTTGACCTGTTCACATGTCTGCACGAACACCTCTTTGTATTTTTCAATATGCTCTCTTAAGACGACGTCTTTTTGTTTCTGACCGAGACAAATCTTCTTCAGGTCCCTCTCCAGCTCCGCCCTCAGATGTGGTTGAGACATTTCTAATCCCATTGCATCATACCCTTGTACAAGGCCCATACCAAGCTCACCAGGTACAAATTTTCCATCAGGTTGAACACCAACATAGTTTCTCGCTTTGATCTTTTCAATATGTTCTGCATGAGTAGCATCTGTACCAATGCCATGTTTCTCCATCAAGGCGATCAGATCTGCTTCAGTCAACAGGGATGGTGGCTCGGTCTCGCCTTCAACCATGTCAATTGAAGTGGGCATGAAGGTATCTCCGGTACGATAGATGGGCAATGTTTTATCACACCATTTCTCATAGGGATAAACATCAAGGTAATTCTTGGCAGTGATGGAGAGACCTTTTGCAGTAAATTTCTCACGTGCAATATCGATCTCCACGGTGGTCTCAATACCCTGGGCATCTTTGGAACAACAAGCCAAGAATGAACGGACAATGAACTCATACAATCTCTTCTCCTGACCATTTAACGTGGCAGTGAACTTTGTAGGATGGATGGGTGGGTGAGCGTTATCCGTTTTCCTACCTTGACGGGGATTGGCGCCTTCTGTTAGCAGATTTGCAGAAAATTGTCCCCAATTTTCATCAACGGTCTGCTGCTGGATAAGATTAGTGAGATCCAAGGAAGATGGAAAGATATTGGTTTCCGTACGAGGATAGCTGATGAATCCTTGGTTATACAACTTCTCTGCTATTCTCATGGTCTCCTTTGCATTAATCCTCAGTTTTCTGGATGCCAGTTTCTCCAACTCAACCGTATCAAGAGGCAATGGTCGCCACTTACTCTTGGGTTTGGACGTCTGGTTCACGACAGTTGCCATGGGATTCTCGAGACATCCTTGGTGTAATACTGCGCAAGCAAGTCGGTAGAACAACCGAACTCTCTTCCAGTTAAATTCTGCTTCTCCATCTGGTGTGCTATGCTTCACTTTAATCTTGAAAAAGGTTTCAGCAACGAATGCAACAATTTCGTTGTACCTCTGTACAACAAAGCCCAGTGTTGGGAACTGACAACTTCCGTAGCTGATCAACTGCTCACTGAGAACTTCTGGGAAACGCTTTTGAAGTCGTAAGGTTTGAAATCGAGTAAATGCAGCTCCAATTCGTAAGTCAAGTTCTTGCCTGACATCTACGGCGAAGGACGTACGCTCATCTGGCCTTCCCAAGGTGGCACACGCTCTGGTAATGGAAGGTGCAGTGATCTCCGAGAATCTTGCTCGATAGATATCAATACGTGGTTTAATTCGTCGGCATACTTCAATTACTTCGTAGCCAATATTCTCGCCCTCTCGATCACAATCAGTCCAGACAATCAATGCATTGCACCTACGAATCTCTTTTTCAAGTGTCTTTCTGATACCATCCATGTTCGAACTTACTTTCTTCTCAATTGGAGCAGTGAATAACGCCAGTGGTTGACAACTGTGCCATTTCTGGTAGCCAACAACAAATTCTATCTCCATCAAATGACCAGATAATGAAGTCATTGTCATCTCACATCGTCTGCCAAAAAGGTTGTATTCGTATTCATATATTTTGTTGTAGCGGGACATTCCTTCCCTGCGACTGTTCCCACCACGGGACATAATACGTGCAATTTCCCTGGCTGCATCATTCTTTTCAGCCACATTTAAAACTCGAAATGCCATCGCATCACATTCTATCAACGAAATAGTTCAGCATGGAATTATTAATGGATGAAATAAAACCTAGATTACATTGATATAGAAGAAACTTCCCCTAGCTTTCCCCAATGGCCTCACTTAGTTTTTCTTAACATTGTGAATCATTAAATTGCATTTTGTATAACAAGAACCTGAAATCTATCCAATTGGCATTTAAATATTCATTTTGCACTGAAAAAAAGTGCCCCTTTTCACATTGTACACTTTGTGAGTGTTGTAGGCATGTGGTGAGTGTCCCTGCTGACTTAGGTCACCTGGAGGGGATATTTTGGAATCATCAATCATGAAAATCTTCCGATTTGTTGGTGTGTGATTATTGTTGAAATGACTGCCACTTTTCACACTGATGAATTACTGGTTTCTAAAACAGTAGGAAAGTGCAATGTCCCTCTTCACATTGTACACTTTGTGAGTGTTGTAGGCATGTGGGTGAGTGTCCCTGTTCCCCCCAACTTTGGTCGCCTAGGCAATTGTCATTTGTTTATTTCAGAGCAAAGTTGAATAATGACAGCCCCCACAAAATTTCAGGCTGCAAGCAGGCTAAACTATGAGTTGCAAGTGGCCAATCATGCATTAACACTAACCATGGGATTGGTACTATGGACTGGGAGTGTGAATCTTCTCTGGAACAACCCAATACAATACCAAATGGCATCGGCAACAAAAAACTGATGCCGATATTTTGTATTTAGGGCAGATATGGATATTGGTAAATTACTAGAAAAAAAATCATGTGGGGCCATTCACAAAATCTGTGATGCTCATGGGGGTAGGTAAGGGGAGTGTTTGATCAGGAGTCACATAGTGTCACAAGAGGGGGGAGGGGTATCACAAGCTGTAGCACATGACGGAGAGGCGCAAAGGGAGAAATTTATCCCTGTCCATAACAAAACAAGACCGTGCTTGAAAACGTGTGTCCCTTAGATGCCAAATCAATGTTTTCTATCAAAATATATTGTTATTCAATGAACCAGCGAGAACCTGTGTGGGAAACTGTTTAGGGTGAGGTTTACTAAGGCATTGAAATAGTGTCAGTTTATAGGTAACATTTTGAATCTGTTGTTGCATATTAAATTTGTGTAATAGAGTGTATTGCCAGCTGTCACACTCTGTCACCAGGGGGTAGGGAGGGGTAAAAAATTGACAAAAACAGCATCACAAATTTTGTGAATACTATACAGAAGTCCATCTCCATTGCTTTTTGCATAAGCACTATTCATCATGATTCATCATTCAGACAGTACCATAGACAGAAGCAGTCACCCCCTGGAAAAATCCAAAATGGCACACCTCCAGGGGGGGGGGGGATGACTGCTTGTTTACAATACTTGCAGAGTGATAACGGATCATGAATAGCACTTGGGAAAAAAACAATGGAGATGGACTTCGCATAGTATTTTGTGCCATAGCAATATAGCACAGTCATAAATTAAACGTTTTTAGACCTACCTATCCACCAAAACATCAATTTGACGTTTTGAATGAGAGGCAAAAGCTCTCTTCTATAAACTTCAATATGTAATGATGAAACAACAAATATAACACTTACCGACACAAAAATCATTAATTGTAGATTATACAGTGGATGCTTGCAACCTGAAGTGTAATACAATTTATAAATATTGAGCCAAGTATTTCGAAGTGAATTATATGTAAGATATAGATTATATTTGAGCTTACAGGAACGATTATTTTTAAACGAACATGTCTATTAGTAACACTTATAACTTGTGGCAATAGAGAATGAACAATTTAACAAAAAATACGTAAAATACCTTAAAAATTCAGCGTGACTTGCTTTGTAAATTCTCTTTGATTCAAACCAAAACCACAGAGTAGATACTGGACAGAGGTGTAACTGTATTACGAAACGCTAATGTTTGAGTGTAACCAAAAGCTTAGCCAGTGCGCTAAGGAGAGGCATTCACCCCCCCGAAAACTTACAAAATGGCGGGCATTTTTTTACTAAAAAGACCGCAAAAAATTGTTTCGAAATCAAGGATATTGTTTGAAATCTCGCTGATTTTTGTTGAATTATTTTTATTTTCAAGTTTGCCTATGGGAAGAGGTAAATCTGGGAGAGATTTGCAGTTTCTTTTTCTTTTTTTTCAAGAAAATTGTTTTCATATGAGCGGGAATTGTAAATATTTTGCCATATTTTGGTTTATGGGCTTAGCCTGCTTGGCTAGTTTAGCTTTAATATACCTGTAAATTTGTGTAAAATATCGTGGATCTTTTGTGGAAAGGAAGAAACTTTGCTTGACAAAGAATTTGGTTGACAAAAGGCAAAAGTTTTCTTAATTTAAGGTACAGTGTGAATCTTTTGACTATTATTAAAAAACTTAATAACACATTCGTGCTATTTTTTGCTATTTGTCTGATAGTCAGAAATTAAGAGTGCAGGGGGTTACATTAGCAATTGTCATGTGAATTCAGAATATAGTTAATGACTTAATCTGTTTTTACAACTTTTTACTGATATTTTACAGTTGTATACTTGTATGTACTGTAGTTCACTAAGTTCAGTAGTTCCATTTATAAGCATTCAGCTCAATCAGCTGTGTCTGTGATTTATATATTTTGTCTGTGATTTATATATTTTGTTGCTATCTTGGCTGTAGTAACACTGTTGTTTGTGAATGCTAATAATAATTGGAATTTAACAGATGCTTAGTTTATTTTGTATGTATGAAATAATATAGTGACATTCTTTTCCAAAATAATTTCTATATGCACCAATCATGTTAAGCATGCACCTAGATGGGAGGACAGGCTACCCATGGCTTTGTAATAGACTAATCAAGTAATAAGTAATGCCTGCCCAAGGCACAACATTTTTGACAACAATTTTTCCCATTTGTAGACTGGGCAAGTTATGATGAAGAAGCAAATGATTGGCAAATTTGATAAAAACCCAAATATTTTTTAGTGTTCAGTATTTAAGTAGTGATTTTGGGTGAAGACCTTCAAAACATCCTGGAGTCTCCAAAAATAATG